GAACAACCAAGTCTTCTTACTTAGAGCGAGCAAAAGATCAAGAAGAAGAAGAACAAGAAAAAAAAGATATAGGAAGTTACGGACATCTGATTTTTTTAATATAATAATAGCAAATTTTTTTGTAAATTCTTATTAGTATATATTGGGTAACACACAGTAAAAAGGTTATTTTGAAAATGAGATGGGCTACAATTACTGGCCAACCTTTCAAATTTCACATCATGGAACAATAGAACGACGATTAGAAAAAAAAATCCTCCAAAACAGGAAGATTATCGAATACAAAAAGAATTGGGGATATAGCTCCTTCGTTACATAATGTACGTATATATATATATATATTATTTTTTTTGTATCAGATGCCGTACACTCCCTTCAGTCTCATTTCCCTCAAAAACTTTTGAGGTTTTTGCAACATCCTTATTTTTAACTAACTCCTCGCTATAATATGCGACTGCGTAATACAGCGAAACAATGAAAATAAGAAACATTTCTTTTTTACAAATGTATTGGGGGGGGGGAGATATACAATAACATTTTTACTTTACACACACAAAAAAGAAAATGCACTGCCCTAAAAAGAAATATATCACATACAATATAATAGGATTGGTGCACGATGCCATTTTATAAATAGCCATTTAATGATTGTTTGTCATTTTTTTATAAAAAAATTTGCAAACGAGGGATCTTGGATTTTTCTGGGAAAATGCCTCAACTATTAACAAGCATTAACAAATTACGTAATTATTAAACCGTTCTGATTATGCTGCCGCATTCATCCCCCCGCGCGAACAACAAGACGAACGTAAAAGAAAACGGAAACACCTGCCTAACCAAACATAACCTAACCTTTGGTCCAATATTTACAAAGCTCAGAAACTTGCCTTCCACCATTCCAACCCTTGACACCCAAACTATTACTCTCTACCAACCACCAAACATCCCCATCCCAGAAATATCCATTCATCCCTGAGTTACAATGGCGGGAATTTCAACTCGTTAGACGCGAGTCTTGTACAAAGATGACGAGAAAAGTGAAACATTTTCTTCAAACTAGTTACGTACGGCCCTATAACGGCTTCTAAAACGGACTACAACATCAGAATATAACATTATCTAAGACTGACACTAAATAATAGTAATAATAATAATAAACTTCACACAACAACACATAGAATTAATAATTATTAATTAAATAATAAATTATTTGGTTTGTAATACAGTTAAAGTGGCACCATCAGTTAAAACTGGTTTTATAGCAGAACAAGATCTTCTGGAATTAAAGACGTGTTGCTGCCGGTCTCATTATCTGTCCATCGCACTACGTGTCTGTTCTTTTTCTCACACCCAAACCTAAATCGGCTTGTTCTGTTACGTTTTCCCACGCCCAAACCTAAATCGGCTTGTTCCTTTTCGTTTTCCCACGCTCAAACGTAAATCAGCTTGTCCACGCCACTTTCTGCTGACAGTTTTGTATCTTGGCACGGTGGCGACTGCAGGAACAGAGAACGTCATCTTGAACAGTTCACACCTTGGTATGTTTGAATCACTGTCGTCACAGTGGCTTCAGGGTTTGGCTTTGTACTATCACGCAGTCGGTGGTAATGAGTCTGTTGCACCATCTCAACAGTCCATCGGTCGTCCATTGGGCCGGTGATCTGGCTCAAGCCTCCAGCGAGACGACCTTGTGCGTCACCGTCGTTGCCGGCGATGCCATCGGATGAGGAGAAGGTGAAGGAGACTTTTTGGACAGGTTGAGCGGCTGTTGAGAGTCGGCAATGTCCACTTGGAGTTCCATCATCTTCGGTGAAGATATGACTAACGGCGTTGCACCGTTGGATGAAGGAGATGTGGGGCAGGATGCTACTGCAGGTGGCGTCTTCCGGTGAGGCAGAGGCGACGGTGATGCTGACGATGATGCATGATGCGGTGATAATGCGTTACTAGGATGGAAATAGATTCTTGAGAACTCTGTTTGCTGCAGTTCTGCATGGTGGACAGGCGGGCTAACACTGGAGCTGTTCTGCAAAAGAACGTATGTCTGTGGTGGAGGAGCACTTCGCCCTGAGGTTGTGGTAATGACACTGGCACCATTGCTGAATCCCGATGAACCCTGCCACCGCCCGACCACTTGCTGCTGTTGCTGCTGAGGAATGTAATGGTAGCCAGAGCCGTGCGTCGAGCCAGCACAGACAAGAAGGTTCCCATTGGTTATCTTATAACCCGGTGCTGTCGTTGTGGACGCTGCTGCAGTGGGGGATGTTGCCGATGGGGGAAACTCGATGGCCATTGGATTTGGACTATCTGCACGCATGATGTAGTTGTGGATGATATCGGTGCGTTTCATTTGTTCTGCAGTCATTCGAGGACTTTCCATTAATGACTTCGCGAGGGTTGAATGTGTGCTGGATAGTAATGATGCTGCTGAGGAGGAGGAGGAGGAGGAGGATGATGAGGACGACGACGAAGATGATGATGACTGCTGTGTATTTGCAGTCAGATGCAGGTGGAGTTGTGGTGAGGAGTGATGCTGTGGTTGAACTGGATGGGGGGGTGGGGGAGGCGATACTTGAACCACCATTGGTTCGGCTTCAGCTGAATCCTTGTTGCGACACGCACGGAACTTCTTGTGCGGCTTATAAGCCTCATCCATAAGGGAATTTGTGTCATAAAGAGGCGGTGCTTGAAGAACGCGTTTCAACACTGGCATGTCATCGATGTGGTTGTTTCCAGAATTTCCACTGTGATGCTTATCATCGTCTTTGTCTTCAAGTGATGACCTTGGACTGGAACATACTGAAGTCGGTGCACTGCCAGTACTTCCTCCACCACCAGTAAGTTTGTCTAGTTTCTCAGTTCCAGATTCAATACCAGAATCACTGGGAGAATCAAGTTTCCGCTGGAATCTGTGATGATGCTGTTGTATTAAGGGTTGGCGTGTAGGGGGTCCGTTCACAGCGGTGATGGTTAAGCCATGGGTGTGGTGAGGGAGCCCAGCCATGTCATCATCGCCTGAAGTTGAGCCAGAGTTGGCACGATGGCGATGAGGGCAGATGCCACCAGCCAGAGTGGCTGCAAGGAGCGGTGTACTGGACGCTTGATGGCTAACATGGTGATGGTTAGTCTGATATTCCGTGAGGGAAGCCACTTCGCCAGAACAGACCGACTCTGTGCTGGATACAGAGCCAAGAGGACTCTTCACCGCTTCGTCCATTGTGACGTCAGAGGACGAAGACCACGATGAGGAACCCGCAGGACTCTTACTGTTGCTCTCCTCCTCTGCTGGTCCTCCCCACAGATGCTGTTGTTGTTGTTGTTGCTGCTGTTGTTGAAGTTGTTGCTGCTGCTCCGTCATCTTGAAGGCCAACAGTTTCTCCGAATGCAACGTATTGAGCGTCCTCAGGTCAGGAATTTTCTTCATAAGCTCGTGACAGATGTTGGCGTGGCCCGGGTGGTTCTGACTCACCACGAGCTGCAGAGCCGCCTTCAACTTGCTCTGCATTCGTTCAATAAGTTCTGTGTTGCGTAAACCAGGACGGTCTGGGGCGATAACCACCACCGAGCAGAAAAGACCGACTTCGGCGTCCGACAATCTTAGTGAGTTTAGCCGCTCGGCAAAGTCGAACATCGAATCCATAAGAAATCTCGCATTCGAGCTGTTGTGGATGGCCTCTCGCTTGAGCACCTGCCCGTTCAGGCAGATCATGCTGTTCGTCTGCAACGAAGATAGAACTCAACGTATTTATCTGATCATGATTCAATTCAGTCGCTACTTATACTGGCAACTATGCACACTCGAGATTAACCCGCGAGATGCACATAAAAAAAACTCACCTGAGCGTCGAACATGCAGGCAAGGCGCACCAGGAGAACCTCGAATACGCCAGCCTTGAGCAGTGTCACCTGGTCGTCCTGTGGCAGGAGCGCAAAGCCGGGAATGCGCTTCGCGAATTCTACGACACCGCGGATAGCTGGCGAGAACCGCTTTGAGAAGTCTTGTAGAAGTTCTTGTTGACCCGTCAGGGGCTGTGGATTTGGGTTTAATGGGCATGCCTGCAACAATAACACAAACGTACCCGTCCGTTAGATAAAGCGCGAAAAAAAACTTTTAAAAACGAATTAATTTTAAAAACACGATTGAAACTTGTTTGGATAAAAGCCTTCAAGAAAAAGCCTAACTGTTTTTCCCCTGGATCCCCTGTGCCATCTGATATACAAATTTTGAGCACCCCTCACGCTGATAAAGTTGGAGAAATAAGTATTTAATGCCCTTGTACACATCATAAGGGGCGAATGTTATCTGCCACGGAGTCAACAAACCGAGCAAGGAATGTTTGGGCCTGTCTACTGGAGCAACCGGGACATTCCCACCCAGTCAGCCATAGCTTCAGTCTAGTCTCCGAGCGTCCAACTCTAGATAACTTTACTTTGGAAGCAGACGCTATATTTCAGTCTGTCACAAGACCGAGGCAGCAGCGGTCGTTCACAGGTTGCACATTCCTATCCACCCTGCTGTAACTCGAGCCGCGTGTTGACGTCAGGGGAAGAGTGAGACAGATCTAATGACTAAACCGGGCAGAGGATGTGACCTTTGCTTGCCCAGCGTACAGTACCGTGCCAGCTTACGTGCGAGGCAAGGTTATCTTACCTACACGAAGCACTGGGATCAATAAGCCTGACATGTGCGTGCTATAAAGCAGGTTTCCAAGAGTTTAAGGTCAGGCCGATTCTATTTTTCCACATGACAGAAAATAACAAAGCTCTTTACACTAGCAGTAAATATCCAATTACAAAAAAAAAATCACAATTTCGATTCACAGTGCGTGGTGGGTGTTAACTCGTTGTGACCTCAACAGCGTGTTGCACCAAGCTTGGGGGAAATATGTTCCTTCCGTCTTCAGGGTTGGCAGCATGTTTTTTCACGTTTGCAACAGCGCAAAAACCCAGATAACAGTCTAAACTCTGCCATGAAAACCTCAAATATCTCTTCACGTATGGTCCGGCAATAAAACGTTTGTATACTTAGTATACTTCATCTTGATAACGCATTTGTAGTCTAAAATTCGATAAACGCAATGAATGCGAGAATAAGAATTTCTTCAAAAAAAAAATCCACGAATTCCATTTGGCAACCTCGATTCAGCCAAAGAGCAACTTAATTCAAGGTCCCTGCCCCCTACCATCTCTTGGACAGAGATCAAAAACTGAAGAAGAAAAAACAAGTAGTTTTCTCCTGTAACGTTCGCATATGCACGGAAATCCAGACACACAGACCGACTACCGATGACAAACCCCACGTTTTATGAGATAGGCCACGATTTTTAACACGTCACCTGACCTTATTAGATCTAAGGCAAAATTCTCGTGGCTAACAAACCTTCCTTCCGTAGGACAGCCATAACACCAACACGCTCCTTTATTCACACTTCACAGCCTTCTCATTTCCGCGGCGACGTTACATATTAATTCAGATATCCCAAAGCTGCACCCAGTCGAGCTTTAGAACGAATTTCGATATGGACTGTAGTGTCATGTTGGTTTGCCGCGTGTCATCTTTACACTTTACACTGATGACGCACGACATTTCACCATTATATTAACCTTGAGAAAGAAAACCCGATAATAAAAAAACAACTACGGACAAGAGAGAGAGATAGAGATAGAGCGAGTTTTCACTGTCTCTATCTGGTGCTGCAACCTTGAATGTTTCCGCTTGCCCACAGTATCTCGCAAGGTCAGCCAGTCTGGATATTGTAATAGTCGTGCCTTTGTTCTGACCCCTGCTAGATTGCCTGACGAGTTACCCTTCTCAGTGTCGTGGTTACCCCACTTCCTTCCGTCCTCAACTTCCTCCCTCAACATTTTCATATCACCAACGCTTGTCCCTGCCCTCCGAGATCCATTTCAACATAAAGATGGCTGCCTTCAGGGTTGTAGCACCGCGTTGTCTGGTAGAAGTTTACCGATGTTACACAAGTCCTCACTGCCTCCACCATCGGGGCGATGAGGGTTTAATATTTTTACATCTAGATCCCCGTCACGCAGTAACGAATTTCCTTCCGGTTATCATAGTAGAATTCTATACGCATTTCTCATTTCTCCCATACGTACTACCAACATCATCGTCCTAAAGTCCCCTCGGTGGACAGATATATCTCAAGCATTCAGTTAAGTCTCTCTCTGGTTCGAAAATTCTGTTCTGAAACATCCTCAAATACCAACTGCGTTACTATTTTACGCGAAGACAAAGTTTCACGCCCAACTGATAACATACACGCCTTTAGATAACAGACGAGAAAGAAGACAAATGTGCGCAGTTAAAAAGCTCTTTTAATTTCTAACGCACGAGCCCCAAGTTACGGAATATAAGTCATGATTCCATAAATGACAAAAGTAAACTAGCTTACAGCCTTGGGACAGTAAACACATCTTCACACAACGTCTGACCTTGTGCTACATTTTTCCGTTCTCTTCACGAATAAGAATCTGCCCGGCCACACGGCCAACGACGTCATTATTCGGGCGAGCTGATTTATTTGTCTATGTCAGTTCTGACCAAAGATTATTTATTTTAGAGAATCGACTAGTGGTGACAAGGTCTGCGCGCTGTTGGGGGAAATTGGTTGCTTTGCAATGCTCATTAAAGATAATGCCAAGAGTAAATAGCCACAAGGTCGCGTTCACAATGTCGTTTCCGCAAGTGGATGATCACGCGGGTAATATGTAACCAAGGTTTCGTGATTAGAAGAGTCGAGGCTCATTGGCTAGGCCAAGAACACCCACGTTATTGTCCGCTAAACCTTTCCTATTTCGAAGGAGGAACGCCGTTCAGAAAAAGCAACAAAATTTAAATAACTTCTTAGGGCTACGTTACTTCTTAGCGCGTATTACGTCCATACACCACGTAAATTCACCAACGCAATATCAAAACTACAATGACGCAAATATCTCACTTACACAACTTTATGAAGAATTGCGTTCAAGATCTGAGGTTTTCACGGTGTGGACATTTATATTACTGAATACTTGGTTCTGACACAATGAGACGACGGCCATACCCTGAAGATGGAGGGTAGCAGGATCATCAAAAACGTTGGTAACCACCTACAAGACCACGTGGAACACAAAGTAACACCGCAAAGAACGTGAAGCGTGGAACTGAGTGCGCCACCTGCCACTCCGCTCACACACCACGCAATAACTTTCACTGCGATCCTACGCCAGCACAAGAGAGCGAAAACGTACTCACCAGGGTTGGCGGACATGCGGTGTAGGACGGCTGGTCGCGGGCTCGAACCAGCATGGGTTCCACTTTGTCCCGTGTAAAGTCGCACGTGTCAAGATGAGCACGGATCACCGTGCTTAGCAGACGCTGCTCATCTTCAAGTTCTGCGGCCACCGCCTTCTCCTGCGACCGCGAGTTTGAACTCTGCTGCATCGCCGCCAAAATGCGCGCCTTCTCACGCTTCGGCACGCGTCCAAACCGCACGGCTGAAACCAGAGAGACAGAAAAGCCCGGTCAATCATCCACTTCGCAACAATCACGTGTACAAACGTTAAACCCCCCCCTAACATCCAAAACCAAAGCACATTTGTCACTGAAATTCCATCGGTAGCGAAGTGGATCTGGTGATTGGTTCCTCCGAAATGTCAGATACATCAAAACCAAGAAAACTACTAATGTTTTTACTTCCTGAAAGCAGTTTCCTCTGGCACCGTAGACATCTTATACCACATTCTATCCTCTCCTGTGTAAATACACACCACTACTTTAAAATAAAATATATTCATATCTTTCATGTACGCACGTAAGCAGAAAATGGTGATGTGCTTATAATACGCAGACACACCATTCATATTCCATAAAATTACGCTAATAGCAGTCAAGAAATTGCCCTCATTCTAAGGAAGATTAATTATCGTGTTAAAAAAAACGTGCACTAACTTGAGCCAGATGAATCCGATCCACGCCACACTAACCAAATTTTTCCTAATATCCATTTTAATATTATCCTCTCACCCAAGCCAGGTGTTCCGAGAGGTCCCTTCCTTCAGGCATACCAAGAAAAGTTTTGTACGCACTTCACAAGTCCCCCTAATTATTATCAGTTGAAGAGTATACGAAACTCAAGACTATTTCTACGACAAAACATCCATTTCTTTCCGCGTTTTACTTGTACATCAACTTATTTACTAAGATGTAAGAGATAAAACGAAGACAATGCTTTCTTTTTTTTGGTAGAAAATTAGTGAGTAAATTCCATTACTCTCTTTATTAATGTTGGTTCCTGTTCTGTAAATTTATGTGGTTTTATATTAAAGTTCAAAGCAGTAAACTTCACTTGGTGTAAAATATCGGGACCCGGAAGACAACTTGTGCACTGCATTGTAGGGACCAAAATGGGTTTAAAGCCTTAACGACATTTCTATTCGAAAGTCAAAATGACTGCTGTTGGCCAGCCCGGTGTTTGAATTCGAACCAGGTGCACGGCGCATTCATTATGTAGCACAAAGTGGCAACGACCGACCCGGGGAGACGCGTGCCGAGTGCAGCTGCTGCATCTGACATCTGCCTCTAGCAGACAACCGTTACAGCCACCCCCAAACTACACGCGCCCTTCTGAATCAGCCACCCCAAAAAGTATAAACGCAACTTCGCTACTAACCATTTACGTGAAATTCCGGTCAACAAAACCGCGTGTGTTACACTAACCAGGAAAGCCACAAAACTGGAGTTCTGCACAAGGTAATTTGATCCATTTCCCTCCTACCATGCCGAAACGATCAATAAAAACAATAGTTGGGTTCTTTACATTACGGTTTTAAGTGACAGTACACTCCATCCGAAATTATCGTTTACGAATCCCATTCTATTAACACCAAAATTTATAAGAACAGAATGACAACGTTTTATGTTTATCTCTCTGTTCTTATTGCATTTGATGCTACAGGTGTGCCAATCGTCCTCAATTCGCCCTAAAATCCCCCATCAAACTATACGTGTATCGGCCCCTCCCACCAAGCCATCAGACTTCTTAACCAATAAGCTCAATTGTCTGGCATAAATCAAAGGAAACGAAAGGGAGAATAAAAAAATTGTCGGTTTCACTTGCTGAAATTTGTATTTGTTATGGTGCTGTATGTAGGGTACATAAAGAGAAAGCGAAAACCCGGTCAGCGAGATTCACTTTCACACGCTGTGGCAGGCAATATGAAAGTAGGCTGGTGGGTATCAGTGAGTGGGTCAGCCGATAGAAAGTGACGCCGCCGAGACGATTACAGCTGCGCGTTTTCCAGGCCGGCGGTCATGTTTTCACTTAATAATAAAGCCCCCCACGCCCCCCCACCACACTTTACATTTTGGTAGCTGAAACGGTTGTCACTGAACTGTCATATTTGATACAGGTTCCAATGCAACTAAAACCCATATTTTAGATCAAACTGTACATTCCAATAACTTGATTAAGTTACGCCATTCGTGGAGAAATCTAAACGCAGTACTAAATAACACATATACAAGCCATGAAGAGTGTTTAAGAATATGATCGACACAAACTTTATGCATTAAAAAACTTTCAGAACACTGCAAACATCAAAACACAAGAAATACCTACGTGCATTGTGGTATTTGACATCGCCGTTTAAAATCCCTTTCAATATGGGTAACTCGTCATCCATTTCCGGATTGTGACTGTTCTCACTTTCACTACTGGACACTAATAACCTAACGACACACACCACTTTGATTAATAAAAACCACAAGAGATCACATGAGTCACCGGAACACAATATAATCCCAGACCGGCGAGGATACTGTTTGACGCTCACATCAGCTGCCGCTGTTGCGCGCGTAGCATACCCTAGCACTGACTACTGAATGCGCCCGCCACTGCCAGCCCACGGCCACGTTCCCCCACCGGGTCGTCACACACTCTTCTTGCTACCCCCCCTCCCCACTTTTCACTCCCACGTTTCCCCCACCACCGCCATCATCACTGCTTCCATTCTACATTACCCTTGAACTTGCTTTCAACAGCAGCCTGTAGAGTATGCTGGCTTTCTGCTGACAATAGCCCAGGGTCGACCTAAATACTGGCTGTTCCCCTCTTCCCGCCGACATCACGCGTTGCCTGCCCCAAACATTAACCTTCAAAATGAAACGTATAATCGGCCCTAAGTCAGTAGCACCCCCTTCAACGGCTAAGCTCATGGAAGAGACCTATACAATATTTCATCATCTGGAATACTTTGAGGAAAAGAAAAGAAAAATTCGAACTCATGTCTGCAGCATTGGTTGAGGCACGAAGAGTTAGAAACATATTTTACAAGGTACACGGCATGTTATGGCATAAACCGGGTATCGGTCGCCTTTTCATTAACACAGACCTCAATGGCTATTCGTATCTTTATCGAGGGCAATAATGTCATGGACTACAAGCGAAACTGCATTTATTTAACTGGTATAGCTGGTTCGCAATCTAAAACGGGAAATTGCAGTATTTCTACATACAATTGAGTGAACTGAACAACGTGCTTTTGCGCATTAACGCAATTATCCTATATCTATATTTTTTTTGTTTCGTTAAAAATATATTCTTTTTGATATGTTTGACCTTACGTTTGATATGTACCAAAACAAATTCAAGGTTGGGAGGGTCGCATGCGACCCGCGTGTTTCCGATCCCTGACTCTGCCTGAAGTACGTCACTGTAGTAAGTCCTCACCATTCATGCGCAAAATGGATGGCCTTTACTAGACGCGCGCGCAGCCGACCAAGCGCTCGAATTAGAGTGGATTTTTAAATGGAAGGATATTACGCATTTCCCGTAAATCTGTAGTAAAACTGAAAATTCAATATCCGATCACTTCAGAAGAGCTACTGGGCTTCTGCTGCAAAATGTCCTGTCATTATAAATGTTATAACTAAGGTTTCTATGGTCATCCCGAAGAGAGGCAATAAACACAGCTTTTAAAATTGATTTGTATGTAAATTGTATATTAAGACGTTTAATTTAATCCACCTACTAGATCCTCATTGTCGTTCTCTGGATATTTGCTTCTTGTTAAGAACTCTCGTTTACACTGAATCCCAAAGGTCGCCTTGATATACAAATCGATATAATAAATAAGCTTTCTTCCGTGCTGGCGCGTAGTACCTACCGATCCCGTCGAGGAACTCTCTACTTCGTTCTCAATATTGCTGTCAGATGGCACCACAGAATCGACTGCAGCGGCGAAATAGGGAACTAACAAAAGAGGTCAGATAGCGGTCTGCTATACAAGATAACCAAACACGTGCACACAAACCAATAAAACTAAATTCTTAACCAAAATATCACAAAACGTTGTGTTAATCACTCCTCCTTGCACGAAGCAACACGGCAAAAGTTTCACTGAATTGAATTTGCTACGCTCTGTAATTAAAACAACAATGTGACCAATTCTAGACAATACAATATTAGTAAAACAAAAGACGTAAAACACTGTCGCTTCAATGCGAACTGGAAAAATGCTTTTCTACTAAACATGGAGCAGAATCCGGTCAGAAATACGTATTTTATGGAACTTTTGTTGTTTTTTGTCTGTTACAGGTACTTTGGCAAACAATCCAACAAAAACCGATTTTATCATTTTTGTTATTATTATTATTATTATTGATATTATTATTATTAAAACACGCAAGCTAAGTCTCATTTACTTTCAACGGGAGACAATTCTACTGCCACAAAAGATTTCGAATCCTCTTTTACAAAAACTGAAATAATTATTTTTGGGGGTTAAACATGCGAATGTGAGACAATATGAAGCTTTAGATTAAGGACAGGGTAACTAACTTTCTATTAGGTAACAGGAAGTGGTGTTTTATTTTGTTTCACTAACCACGCCTACCGTCGGGTTGCCACTTTCCCCTAGCGCCCCGCGCAAGCACTTATCACTTCTCACTTTTGCTTTTAGCCTACTTTTAAATAAACGTAAATTTCTCAGGTCGTTCATATACATAACAATCGCACAGCCATTAACCTCACTCGGCCCACAAGTTTCTTTAAACACTTGCATTTACGGTTTTGTAAAACAACAATTTCGAATGTCATTGAACCGAAGTACACTTTCTACTCGCCGAGCACTGTGTCAGATTTCATCATGTCATATCGATTCCAATAATATAAAGACAGCTAATATCGATATGTGAAACGCATACGAAATTATCGATTAACAATCATGACTCTAGGCTACAGTTTTACATTCCATATTCAACTTACGCTTGTCATAATTAATCTGTTTTTAAATAATGAGATTAAAAATACTTTTCGATACTCTTACACAATAATATCCAAGCTCCTAGTGGCTGTAAAACATACCAAGAGGTCTGTTGATATTATTTTGATTTCAAACACATTACTGATGTAAGTCTTCTTTATATCGTGTTCACACTTTTGGGTCGACTTCCACAGGAGACTCCAACTGTCTATCTGCCCATCCTCTCCTCATTACAAATTTAATGTCCATAATCTGAGTCCCTCAACATGTTTTGTCTTATTTTCTGTCGATACAGAAACTTTAAACTTCTTTATCTTTAGAACATTACCTTCCTGCACCGTTGGATTGTTCAGCCTAAAGCAGCTTTATCGCAAATTTTGGCAGTTCTTTCAAAGTCCTGTCAGGCCTTTAACTACCAAAAAGGCTCCAGGTACAAGGTCCCTCTGTCACAAATCTGTTTTGCATTACTTTCTTCGACTTTTCGTCCTAATAAATCAACATATCGATTTGAATAACACTATTAAATTAATTGAGATGATATGAACAGACAGAATATGTTAATATACTTCTCGTATACATTCTGTCGCCTTTTCGAGAGGCGAGATGGAGTACGGGGGACGGCGGCTTTGTGCTGTACGTTAATCTCAAACGCGTTCATGGTTCTGTGAGGAATTGAGCACAAGGCTTACTCAATAGGTTTCTTAGTCAATCCGTGGTTGCAATCTTAAATAAATCACGACTAAATGACCTGAGTTGTGACCTCAACAAAGTATCAGTAGTCAAACATAAATGTAGGCTATTGCATAATGACTCGGTAACGCCGAGTATGTGGCTGCTGTTGTTGTAGTTGTAGTTGTTGTTGATGGAAACAACTTTCGAATCTGTCGCGTCGCCCTGAATGGCCGGGTGACCTACTGAACGCTGTCCTGTCCCCGGGTGAATGAACCCATCGCCTATCTCTCACTACTTTCCCATCAGCCACACATATAACAAGTGATTCTGAGTTCTGCGCTGCCGTAACTTCATTACATAATTCGTAAGCGTTTTAGTAAATCGATCAGGATTATCCTATTTTCCAACTGTCCCTATGATGGTGTCTAATTTGTTAATATTACCGATTTTCATTATACTGAAAAATCTTACTATTATTATATGTAGATATAAAAAATAAGGAACTGTAAAATCTAAAATCTGAAACACGTGAGGAACCTCTTTAGACCACCTCCAACAACGCAAACTTTGCAGTCTGAACGTGCACATAATTTCTTAAAACACAAGTATACATAACACAATGCGCTGTAAATAAATATTACGCCAAATGCGGTTAAATTCTATATCAGCGATCAGGGATGTACATTCATATTCCTGTATGCCGCTTGAAGGTTTCTGAGTCGAATCCCGTGTCATGTAATTCCCAACAGTTTATCACTTCCTATAAAGCACGCACCATAATCATGAGTATTTATTTCCTATAGAAAAACGTAATTAAACATGGAACGTTGCGTTTGTTACTGCTATTTTCTGGGGGACAGTTTTCATAAAGATGACGATGGTCACTCAAGTGGTAAAAATATGCCTCGTCCTTATGAAATCTGAAGCTCTTTAAAAAGTCCTAAAAACCCACTATCAGTCTACATCCTCACACCCTACGTCCTAAGACCTCGTTTCTCGAATTATCATTCCACCTACGCCTAGGTCCCCCAAGTGCAATATTTACTTCACGTTTTACGACTAAATCTTGAACATATTAATTATCTCCCAATAATCTTCTAGCTATCTCATCTTCATTTTCATACACATACAAATTAGGATACATGAAAAATATATTATGGGTACTTTAATCTTTAGGAGACAAGAATATAATGATCTGCACAAAATGACAAGAAACATTCGTCGAATTTTATCTACATGTAATTTTTGTGAGCGTAACTTCTTACGAGCTTAATGACATGTAAGTGCTTAAAATACCGACGGCACAACGTAAAATGGGCCTACACCAGTCAAAATATCGTTGAAACTAAACATATATGAGGACAGCCTTCTTTTTGCTCTTTCCAATAAACAATGTAATAAATAATATCCACTAGTATCACCTCCATTAGTATATTTCAGAGAAACCAAACAGCCAAGAATCACTGAATGAATGAGGTACTTAAAACTTTTAAATCTCTCGCTGATTATATTTATTGATAAAAGTTTTTCGTTCAATGTTATATATTACAGCCTACAAATACTATTTCTGAATCTATTCATACCGATAGTAGAGGAATCTTTCTCCACTAAAGCGACCAAACGTTAGAGCTTAAAGGAATAATCCATAATCAAACATCTCACCGTCTCTGCTCATGCCGACAGCGATGCACTTCTTCAGTCTGCAGTACTGGCAACGATTCCTGTTGATTCTTAGTATAGAACACTGCTGGTTCTTGGTGCAAGGGCGGTACTGGATCTTCTGTTGGATGCTGCGTCGGAAAAACCCCTGTGAAGAATTCGAAACACTACAATCAGTCTGATGATATTCACAGCTATCACCACACCGTTCACCTTCCTTGTTCTTTGGCGGTTGGTCCTTGTTTTTAACACTACTCTTGTCACTGTTAATGCAATGCTTATGTAACGTTTCCGTGTAAGTCATGATAGCCATCTCACAAGGGCAACATCCCACTTAAGGGACAAACGCTTGTGATACCCGACAAAATTCTTCACGTACAAAATCCCTTCTTTATAAGACGCGACATGTTAAAACACACGAACACTAACAGTTAATGTATTCACTGTTTAATTTAAATATAACGTTCACTGGTGAGAGTCTGCACAGACTCCAGACAAGAAGGGTAACGTTCGATCTGCGATAGGAGTCAAACTGAAATGAACTCGATGCGTCGCTTGGGCTTGGACAAGGCACAAGAAGTGGGGTACGGAGCGGGACTGACTTCATCTACAGTTAGCCCAGTTGTGACCTAGTTTCCGGTCGTTCAACTCCCTCGGTTTGTTGCATGGCTTGCTAGCAAAACGAACCGAGGCCAGTTCACGCCACGAAAGTGAGAGTATCTCCCCTCTTCGCCCCTCATTTCTCTCTCTCTCACTCTATCTCCGTCACACTTGTAAAATCCAGCCGTTAAAGAGAGACCATATTTCGTCATTACGGTTATAAACCGTGTAACGGTAGGGATTGGAGGCCTACATTTTCTCTGTCCTCATCTCCTGCATATTTTGCTCTTTGCCAATGGAGAAACAACACGGAAAGTTCTATCATTCCTCGTGTCACCACGCATTTAAAAAATCCACACCATAAAATATTGGTCCTCCATAACATTTCGAAAAAATATGTTCAAGCACTAGTGACGAACATGGGTAGCTAATATCAAACTAAATCAAACATATTATATCTAGAAGTAAAAAAACATCAATGTTTCATATCCAGACTGCACGATAAAACAATATTATAAAGATAAAATAAAGTATAACCATTATTTTAAAAAAATGTCAGGTTCAGATGTGTAAGAAATAAATTTACTAAACCATCACGAAAATGCTTAATACCAAACAAATTTAGAATCTTCAGTCTCGCCGTCTACTATCTAACAAAAAGGTAAAGACTAAATATAAAAAAAGTTTTTCTGTTGGTTTATAGGGGTATAAAACTTTGTCTCAAAAATTAATGGAAAAGCACAGCTTGAGGGCGTTTGACAAAATGGTGCTGGGGAGAACAAAGGCTTGAGTCCAAGAAGAGTCAAGTGACAGGATGCTTAAAAAAACATGCGCAATTTGGAACGTCGCAATTTTTACTGCACCAAATGTCTGCCCTGTTAAGACGATGACGCGTACACAGGAAGAAATTATTAACATTAATTTTAAAGAAACAGGGAGGGGAAAAATTGACGTCGAATAACAAAGGTTAGTTGTGAGACACGAAAATGAATTAGAAGATGGAGATCGCCCTGATGATGAAGGCAGCAATGACCTCTGAAAACTTCTACCATACTACACGGCGCAACAACCCAGAAGATATCCATCTTCAGACTCACCGCCGTGTAAACCTCAAATCCCACAAGAAAATGAATTAATTTACAACGAAAATCAGCCATCTTATTGACTAGATGTTGATCCATTCATTATTAGACATTGTATGGGCAACTTTTACGTATATGAGCTTAAAATGAATAATTATATGGAAAGTTACAGCTACAGTGCGTTTTCATTAAATATTCCCCACACCTCATTCATCATATATGAGCTTAAAATGAATAATTATATCGAAAGTTACAGCTACAAGGCAGTGCGTTTTCATTAAATATGCCCCACACCTCATTCATCGATACACAAATTGCAGTAAATCGTCGTGTTATTGTTCCAAACTAGAAGTTCTCAAGACATCTGTAGTTTTGTACTATTATTCATCACAGAGAATACAGATAGTACTTTGAAGTTTGACTGCTGGAGCCCTTTTTGATAAAATCAGCTTTAACTAGTCTCCAAAATAACGTGAATTATCATTTATCCCACTAACATCAAACCAAAGCAACAAAAACACAGTCATTTAACAAATTCAGGTCTTTCGAATTACACCACGTACAGATCCTATAAACACACAGTTTAGTTTTATTGAGAACATGTTTACGCTTAACTGAACCTCAGTATGGACCTATGGCATGAGTACGTAGCCTACAAGAGCGCTATTCGTCTGTTCCTTGTTGTCATAAAAACTAATCAATGCAGGTATTCCGGCACCTTAAGTTGAACGCAATATTCGTCTCGGAATCTGCCGCTCAAATACAATAAACCGGATTATGGGTGGCCATCCACAGACCTTCAGCTTCAGTAGCACGTATAGGGAAGTTGAGAAATTCGTAAAACATTTTGGCAAGAATGGGACCAAATCGGAGATATGGGCTTCGATGGAAGGACAATATTAGAAGAGATCTTAAGGCAATAGAATGTTACGATGCGTATTAGATTAATTTCGTGCAAAACAGGATGCAGCGGTTGGAATTAAAGAACACAGCAGCGAAACGTCGGGCTCCCAAAAGGAACTAGTTTTTTAAGTATCTAAGCGACTATGCCTACCAGGATCACAAGAATAACGGCTTCGTAGATTATTATTATTATTCCATCTATTCACCACTTTATAAGGTATTTACTTCCATGTACCCGAGACAAACCTTGCCCCTAAGGTACATAGTGCAGCAGCTATTTCCGAAATACATTTTGTTTTTAATACGTGCTACATGTATTATATAGTTTTACTGTTAGAGATGACTACATATTTTAAGACAGCGTCTTTCGAATGATGTATGAAGATCCTAAAATGGCAGTTTTCTGCAGTTCCCTGACGTCGTGTTCGCCCGGGATGTTGGCCAAATATTTTCTAAGTGACCTGGAGACAGTTCCAGTTGCTCCTATAATTGTTAGTATTACTTTTGTTTTTATTTTCCACATTCGCTGTGTTTCAATGAGAAGGTCCTTGTATTTCAAGATCTTCTCCGATTCCTTCTTAATTGCATTTCTGTCGCTTGGTATTGCTGTATCAATTAAGAGAAGTCCCATTTTTGTTTCGGATTATAATATCTGGTTTGTTATTTGGAACGGTTCTATCTGATTTACGTATTATTCTTATTAAAGTTGTTCTTCAGGGAATGTCCTGTTCTGTCCAATTGGTTCAGACATGACCCCTTTAACTGCACACTGTTCAAAGCAACAATTAAATCTCAAAGGCCATTGTTGTCTCAGTATCTTGTTACCATCGTCACCAGTAACAGCTGGTAGTAAGATGCTGTACTTCATACAAGCTTGTACTTTTATGCTCAGGTTCTTGGTGAATTACGAGGTTTCCATTACATTTCCCATATCGTTTGTCGCGAAAAAAGAACTTGACCATTTTGTTTGTCTAATATCTTTAACGTTTACAGAAGCTTTTTATTTAATCTTTAGAGTATGTTCCTGTAGTATTTTTACGTTTCATTGTATTTATCAACAACCGCAGCCAAGAGTGAACCAGCATCTGGAGTTTCCTTGTTATTGACGGATGGAACGTCATCATCAAATCAAGAAGAGGGATATTTCTTCCGTTTAATATCATAAATGATGCAACAAGCGCCAAGCTGTTATTTACCTCAGCGATACTTCGTAATTACATTTGTCTCAATTCAGATTAATCACGTAACCTATCGCTTAACTGCCTCGCCACATAATTCCCCTCATTATAATTTCACAGAATCATATATTTTGTTCGAACCCTGTTATATTTCCCAGTCTTCTTTCTGCTATATTATTATTATTTTATTATTATTAGTGTTCTGTCTGACGACAGGTCCGTTTACTCGGCAGATGATCCAAAAGTGGTTTGCCATTGCCTTCTTCTGTGTGTGAATGGAGTAATTGTTGGGATGCCACGGAGAAACCGGGGAAGCCCCGGAGGAAAACTCCGTGATACCGGGACGACGGCCTTGCCCAACACAAGTTATAAATTTGGGCACCACCGGGAATCGAACCCGAGACCCCAGGATTACATTGATATTTTGAGTATCTGAAATTGCCAAACTGTTCGAATCGTCTGATACGATGATATGTTTCTTCAGCCAATTTTGGAATTACTGGATTTCTGCTACAATATCTCATGTGACTGCGTATCATTTCAATATTTGTGTGTGCGCGCGCACGCGCGTGTGTGTCAAATTCCGCCATATCACAGTAGACCACGTTATCTGAGCGGGGTCACTGACCAGACAGCTGTCGCGAACACTACGTCACAGAAGTTGCTACATCGCGTTCATATCTCTTCGAAAATGAATGTATGTTATGAAAACCTTATTGTAGATGAACTACTTTTGATAATCTCTACGCAATTTCATTGGTGCTTACTAAGAGATCACACCAAACCCTTCGCAAATAAAATGCAGAACACACCACCCATAAATCTGTCTCACGTGTCGCAGGGATTACAAGAAAAGCATACATGTGTTCGTGATCAAAGAGTTCGCTACAAATTTTCGTCTACATAAGCATTACCCCCACTCTGTTCCCCTCTTTCAGTTTACGTCACTGAAGTACTACTTTACATTAACTCGAATCAGTAGGAGTGATGACGTCATGACGGGGCAGGTGTTCTAGTCGAGCAGCCTACCTCAACAATAGAGAGTCCCGTAAGGTGAACGCACTAGAACATAGGCCTAGAAACTGTAACTGCACGCTCGTGGGAAAACTATTACCACCACCAAACCATGCTGTGATGATAACAAACAGTGGTAAAATGCTTAATCTATTGAGTGATACTTTGTCTTTCTTAGCCACGATTACGTACGGAACTTGTTGATAGGAGGAGAAATTGAGTGTGGGGCGGTGAGGACTGGATTCAACAGGTTCAATGTAAGAATCAATGAATGCCCATTGTTAATGAGGTAATGAACCTTGGGTTTCAACAAAAGACGGGGAACTTCTTGATCAGCTGAAAGACTATTAGCGTCTCGACAATCGCTCTGT